GCCGCCCGCCCCGGAGCCCGCGAGCCCCGCCGCCGAGGGTCCCCCCGCGGCGTCGGGCGCCAGCCCCGCGGCGGTGCCCGCCTACCGCTGCCCGGAGCCGCGGTGCGCGCTGGGCTTCGGCAAGAAGCAGCAGCTGAAGCTGCACCTGCTGACGCACGGCAGCGGCCCGGACCGGCGGCCGTTCAAGTGCGCGCTGGAGGGCTGCGGCTGGGCCTTCACCACGTCCTACAAGCTCAAGCGCCACCTGCAGTCGCACGACAAGCTCCGGCCGTTCTGCTGCCCGGCGGGCGGCTGCGGCAAGAAGTTCACCACCGTGTACAACCTCAAGACGCACATGAAGGCCCACGAGCAGGAGAGCCAGTTCAAGTGCGACGTGTGCGCCGAGGGCTTCCCCACGCACGCCAGGCTCAGCGCCCACCAGCGCAGCCACTTCGAGCCCGAGCGCCCGTATAAGTGCGACTTTCCGGGTAAAGGCGCCTGGCGGACCTGCGGCGGGGAGTGGGGGGGGGGGTCGCGAAGATGCCAGACTCGGCCCCCTGCAGCCTCCCTCGCTGTTCCTGCAGGGTTCGGACTCCGGGGGCGGGGTTGCGAGCTCTCCGGTGTTTGCACAATAGGGGTGCTTGCACGCTGGCTCCTTACGGGGTGTTTGCGCGCTAGGTCCTTCCGGGGTGTTTGCACGCTAGGTCCTTCCGGGGTGCTTGCACGCTAGGTCCTTACGGGGTGCTTGCACGCTAGGTCCTTACGGGGTGCTTGCACGCTGGCTCCTTACGGGGTGTTTGCACGCTAGGTCCTTCCGGGGTGCTTGCACGCTAGCTCCTTACAGGGTGCTTGCACGCTAGGTCCTTCCGGGGTGCTTGCACGCTAGGTCCTTACGGGGTGCTTGCACGCTGGCTCCTTACGGGGTGTTTGCACGCTAGGTCCTTCCGGGGTGCTTGCACGCTAGCTCCTTACAGGGTGCTTGCACGCTAGGTCCTTCCGGGGTGCTTGCACGCTAGCTCCTTCCGGGGTGCTTGCGCGCTAGATCCTTCCTGGTGATTCGGGGTGAGATCTTGACACCCCGCCTTGCTGCGTGGATGTCAGCAGAGTAGTCGGAGAATCGCAGCTGCCGCTTCTCAGGGGTGGAGGGATCTCTCTTAAGATGCTTTCGTTTGATGCAAATGGTCACGCATCTTTGCGAGAGTTGCACTGAAGTCAAGAGTCAGGTCTTTATTTTCCTCAGTTTTGTCGTTTAGGGATAGGCAGTCATTGCGTGTTAACGGGGTACACACCCCGTGCTGGAGGAACAAGGATAAATATGGCCAGATGCAAGACCCTAAGACACTATATGGCCAGATGCAAGACTCCAACACACTGTATGGCCATGGCCAGATGCAAGA